CTAAGACTAGTACTCAGCCAGACGCAAGACTCGAGCCTGGCCAAGCTACTCTGACCCGTTTTCCCTGCATATATTCCCTCCCCGAGACGCAAGACTCGGCTACTCTGAACCTCACTCTCTTTATAAGATCACACCCGTCCGTCTGTCTGAAGCTATTCAAGGTCCGCCGATGGCACCGCGGCATCTGATCACACAGCCAGAAAAGTCCGGCTTCACTACGCCAGGGGCTGATTCCACCTCGGCACGACTTGACAGCTTCATTTTCAGACATTAACAGCTCTTGTGTAATATAGGATAGCCATTGTGCGCTCTGTGTACTTGGAGGGAATGGTCTGTATTACAGTAATATCTTCAGTTTATTGAACGTGCAATTTATCACGTGTGAGCTTTTCACCTGACTATGGGAGGAGTTTCTTCGTGGATGAGTTACCGCTACAGCATGGGTACAACAAGAATACTGTACTATCCGAATTTTTTTACCACTCATGCTCAACATTACTTAGAACTCTTCGCCCAGCGGCTCCATGATGATCCCTTCGACGAGCGAGATCGTGGAGATTTCGAGGACCAACCCGTCCTTCTCCATCTGTTCGATTTCGGCATCAAATCGCGCCCCCGTCGGGTACGCGCGATCCAGGAGCCGGACAGTAAGGCGCGAAGGCTTAGGACGGCCGGAACACTCCTTCCCGACCCACTGGGATGCGAGGGTTCGGATAAACGTCGGCAGGGCCGGTGGAAGGAGCGTTCGGTTGAAGTCTCCAATTTACAACCAAGCGAGGTGTGGCAGTTTGGCGACGAGACGACACAGCGCATCCTGCGCAATCTCGGTGGCGCTGGAGTGGAAGCAGAGTGTTGTGAGAAAGACAGCGCAGTTGGAACGCGCGATGAGCGCGGCGACTGCCGTCTCGTCGGCGGTTTCGCGGATGGTGAGACTGTGGAGAGCGGGAGTTTCCAGGAAATCGGGTAAGAAGGGGCGCTGTCGCACAGTTTCAGCCTGAATGCGCGAAAAGTCTTGTTCCTCAATCTGCAGGGCAAGAGAGCGAAGGTGTGGGAGGCGAATGGTGGTAGAAGCTATAGGAAGGGGATTTATCGTAGTGAAGGCCAGCTTGCATTCAACAATGTTTGGTAATTTACTCAGAATGGATAAGGGCTCGGTGTTTGAAGCGAACGTGGCGGAAAGCTGGGTAAGCTGGTCCCATGGGAGTGTGAATGGAGTTGCACGAAAGCCAAACTCGTCCCATGAGTGGGCTCAGAGATGCCTCAGGTTAGGCGCAACTGCAAAAGCGTCCCACAATAGGGTGTTTCACACATCGCTATTCGGGGCCCAACTTGGGTCCCAACTCGATGTCCAACTTGACGAAGTTGGGACCCTCAAGTTGGGCCGATTTCGAAGTTGGATGTCAGATCGTGCTCAACCCCACGATCTGACATCCAACTTCGAGATCGCAACTTGACAAGTTGCGACTTCCTCGCAGGGCTGATGCCGTCTTTGGTGGACGGGTGCCGAAGTTGGCAACTTCGGGGTTGGACGACCAAAAGGGCGTTCAAACATCTCGACCCAACTTCGAGTCCAACTTGGTCAAGTTGCGGTCGAAGTTGGGAGTCAAGTTGGGCCCGAGTTAGCCTCCAAATTGGAATGTGTGAAACACCCTAATGCTGTGTCTAAATCAGTTCCTTCTTCCACCAGGTCGATGGAGAGGAGAAGCGTGGTGAGGGAGGAAAGAGGGCCGCAGAGAGTGACAATTTGATTTAGGCGTGGAACCGTCATGTAGAGGTCAACTATTCTCCAACGCTCGGAATGGGATATGGCAAGATAGAGGATGGGATTATGGCTATTTTAAGGTCCTGAGAAAGAATCTTGACCGACAAGGGCACATTTCTCGACCGCGCAAGAAGGAGGTCGGTCAGTGGCACCATTCCCCGCTACCCCAACATGTCAAGGTCCAAAAAGACCATAGCCCACAGGGCGGGAGTCTGGAGCGCCACTGTCGACCAATAATGGCAGACACGCGTTAGCAACCACCGACCGAAGTTGTATACCGGAGGGTGACCTCTGATATATTGCCAAAATGGAAGGCCGCGGAAACGGCGAAAGTGAATATCTCCTGGAGTATTTCCGGAGGAAGTCTGCGTATGGGCGCGCGGAGGGTCTGGACTTTTTTCAGAGATTGTAAGAGCTCTGTACAATGGCGCGATAGGAAGACCGTGGCTTCATCGACCGATGCAATCTGCGATTCTAGTTCTTCGGTGTAGTCTGCAATGGATTCCATGCTGCTTGGGAGCGCATTGAATTCAAACAGACAGCTCAGCGCAGGCGGCAAGGTAGGTGGGTCGGGGAAGGTTAGAGACGGCGGCATACAGTCGCAAACGGCGAAGCGAAACGGTTTGTGTGCCCGGCAGATTGTGGGTACAATATGGTGCAAATTGCCACGGCTATTGTCATACATCGACTCCTTGGCATATCCGCTACACTGTAGTCCAAAGAATCAGAAGATTTTGTCCCAAACTCGTGGAGAACGGAGCGAGTTTCTCCGGGAGGCCAAATTTGGCTCATTAACGACGTAGCGAAACACTGCACAACAGTTCAATTTACCGTTTTTGGGTGGTGCGAAGGGCCATTGAATTTATATTAGGCACCAAAGGACTGAGAAACAACCCCAAGCACGCTCTGGGTGGTATGAAGCACTTCTGTGAGCATCTTGAATTTTTTGACTGAAACGCTGAAAATGGTTCAAATGATGCTCTCGAATAAATCACGCTGTGTGGGCGCAATATTATGGTTTCACCTAGTTCCTTTTGCAGGCTGAGGTTTCTCAAGGAGGACGCTCACCTCCCCAAATCTTAAGCCGATCTGAGGCCTGCGATGTACCGAACGGCCCGGTGTTTCGTTACGTGATGACGTTTCGCTTCGCCGTTTGCGACTGTAGATGGGCGTGAAAAGGATGAATGCGGCGACTGAGAGGAAAGAATCAGTATGAGGAAAGGAAAAGACCTCTCAGGCTGACATACACGTTGAACGTTGAACTCGCAGTCTGGCCAGAAGATCTATGTAGAAGTTGACGAAAGGCGGCAATTTCCTTGGTCACCGACTGATGGATCAATTGATCCACCGACGGCTTTCCGTCTTCAAGTTTCTGCTTGTTATTTCTTCAAAACGCACGCAATAAAGCACGAGTTACTCTGGTACCTTCGCCACGACCGCCGCGCGCAAGACCACAACAACAACCTCATGACGCAAGACTGGTAGAACGAGGTTACGAGTGCTGCTTAGTGCTGGCCGGATACGGATACGATACGCCATTTGGCGTATCATATTCATATCTGTATCATATTCACCCCTCAGACCCCGTATCGTATCCTTAGCGTATCGTATTCATATTTTGGCCCTTGAATATGAATACAATATGAATATATCTGAATATATTCCGGGCCTGCCAAATGTTTTCACAAAGTCCGTGTATTTTACTCCTCTGCAAGCTCCGACTTCAGCCATTCCTTTATTACAATATCCGCTGAAGCCCTCTGCGCAGTTATGGGTGACAGCGTAACAGATAAAGTGTGTTGTAAACCCGAGAAAAGACGCTCAATGGAGATGCCTGATGTTGTTCCCCCCTTCAAAAGCAGTGACGGAAATATAATTAAGTGCAGCATAATTTATGACAAACCTCAATTTTATCTGCGCTATCATTGTCTACGGCAGTACCGGTATTCTGAGCCTCTAGGCAATGGTCGGCAATGTCAGAGATCCAGAGGAAGTGAACTGATAGTCAAAGGCTCACCGGTATTGACAATTGCAGTCAGCAAGGCTTCAAATTCCCCACTGAGTGAGGCCATAGTGACCTAAGGAGCAGTTGAAGAAAATTCTGGACTGAAGTTTGACGGATCTTCTCTGTGCAGTAACCCTGATCCGCTGATCCGGTACAATTTCCGACACCAGAATGCTCTGTGATGGCCGAACTTTCCGACGGCAGAGTATTCAAATATATTTGGATATGCTGATCACCGTACCGTACTATATTCATATCATATTGTATTCATATTCAGTGGAAGGGTCTGAGGCTGTATCGTATCCACCCATATTTGAATATATTCAAAATTTAATTTTTGTATCGTATTTTTGGCCAGCACTAGCACTGCCGCTGTCTGTCAAGACTCAAGAGAGACTACTGTGCTCAAGCTCCAAGGCTCGCTCCCCTCAAGTCCCCCCTTTTCTCCCTGCACGCTTGTGTCTCCTTCGCAAGACCGCGACAAACTTTCTCCCGCCTCTCACTCGACCAGCCGTCAGTATGCTGTCTTCCGACTCATCCGCCGGCTCGGCCGCCCGCGGCAGCGCGACGGAGAGAATGGATGCACTGGGCTCCCACCTCGGACAATGCCCCCACGACTTGACCGACTTTTTCATTTACACTCATGTACAGGAAAAGCATCTCAGCTCCTCACCGCGATCTCTTTCGCCCATTCAGCGCACTTTTGACTTTCCGCCAAAACGTGGTGTCCCGATCTGGTAATATTTTTCGGCTATGCTGGGTGGTGCATCGACTGCCGCACATGCCGAAGTCTCTGACGGCATCACACAGCTGTGATGGCCAGCGCCCCTCTCCTTCCCTCCACCATCTTCACGACCCTCAGCTCGCTTCATTCGTGCCCAACATCAACGATCTGTTCTTTCAGTGTCCTCACCCGCATGCCGGCGTGCTCTCCAGCTTCGTTTGTGTCAAAGTGGGTCCCGAAAAGACCGTTATTTCTTACTGGTGCGTACCTCCAACATACTTATGCTCACCATGGCTAATTCTGCCTCGTTCAGTGCGTTAGCGTCCTTGGTCCCCACGCCATAACCAATTGGTGGTATTGGTGGCCCCTTGGCGTGATTCCAGCGAACACTGCGCAGTGTGAGCTGTCACTTTATGATGCGCTCTGAACGCGGCCAAACGGGAGGAAAATCATACTCACGACGGCGACTCCGTATCCAAGAATATGACACAATGCGCCTCCGAATAAAAAGGCCAGACCCCGAATCGAACGGAGACCTTGCGAGTCGAAACGTTATAGGAGTCTGTATTCGTCTCCCGCGTGTTACCATTCCGCCACCTGGCCGTGATTAGGACTCGACAAACGGACAAAAAGGCGAGACGAACCTGATTTCAATTATAGGAACAACAGACTCCGAATCAAACGGAAACCCTATTGATTCTCGCACGCGCTACCTGGCCGTTCAATGCGTTCACTTAAAAACTTGACACGGCATTCACTCAAAAACGAAACGGAGGCAAAAGTTTCTTGATGGTGTATCAAGGCCAGACCCCGAATCAAATGGAGACCTTGCGAGGAAACATTACAGGCTCTCTTATTTGTCTCGCATGCGTTGCCATTCCGCCACCTGGCCGGTACTAGGGAGAAGGAAATGGGGGAGCAAACAGAGACGGAGTGGTTGCGGTATGGGAAACGGGGCGACTAAACAGAGAACTGAGGTGGTTCTTGGGAAACGGGGTGACTGAAACGGGAAACGGAGGCGACACGAGGCTGCTCCGAGTCAATTTCTAACCCCTTTGGAATCGGGAACGCGTGGGCAATCACAGAGGCGAGTCAGAACTGAAAAGGTGGAACATCCGTTTCCAATTAAAGGTATAAGTACGCGCACGAGTATCGGACAGAGTACGGTATAAAAGCCAGCTGTAGGATACGGAATGAGCATCTTATTACCTCCCACTGCATATACCTAAAGCTACTCCCCCTGAAGTACACCAGGGTGGGGAACTAAATTAAATACACTCCGCTACGGGTTGTGCCGCCCAATAGTAGGACAAACCAAGGTCACCTAGAAGGCCAGGGCTTGTCAAGAAACCCCGTCCGTCTCACCTCCGTTTCGATAAATCGATACGGGGGAAATATAGTCAATCCGGAGTTGAAAGTGCGTGGTAGTAGATTAACGCGGCACACTACCAAATGGCCAGTCACCTAACTTGGCTTCGTGCAACCGTTCCTTTTCGGAGTTCGAGCGCATATCCTTGCGAGGAACCCACCCCATCATACACGGAAGGCCTATCCTACACGATCATACCATTTCCCCCATTCAATTCGCACACTTCACCCCCGAGTCTTCGAAACGGAAGTGATTCCGTTTCAAGGCGTTCACCAACGGAGAAACCAGGCTACGAAGGGAATCGCTATAGCCGTCCGTATAGTGTTGCACTGTACTGAAGAGACCTGCCGTCCGATACGTTTGAGACGGGTGGATAAAGCATAACAGATAACCCGAGTACTCCGGAACGGAACAGCATTCGCATTGCGGAGCGTACCCTTCGAGCAAGTGTAGAAAACTATCCATCCGCGGTACCTTCAGAAGGCCAGCCCCCAACGAAGAACTAAATCTTCGAGGAACCTGGCAAAGCGTTCAATCCAAACGGAGAGAACTGTACACACACACACACCACAAATTATATATCGCACATTAGCGTACCTTAAACTACGCAGCTCCGCGACAGAGCAATTTCCCCCTAGAGGACAAATTAAATTCTGTAAACACTACTTGACTATACCCACCCCGGGTCAGGCAGTTCACAGAACCGCAGTCTGCATCACAGCGGGCTTCGGCACCGACCTCACCGTCTACTCTCACTGCAACTCCCGCTGCACCATCTGTGCCCCTCGCCGCAACTCCAGGTACCATCTGTCTCTGTCGTGGCCGCCATTCCTGCCACCACCTGCAGCAATGGTCCGTGTCACAAAATCGATGTTGTATGTGCAAGATGTGTAGCTGTTGTTGCAATCACAGGTGCTTGTGCCACTCAGTCGTACGTACGTATTGCTCGCCTGTCGGCCGGTTTTCAAGTGTCATCTTCCCGCTCGCCGTCGACCTTGTCTTCCTCGTCGTGCCCGTTCCCTACTATTACATGCCGCCCACTGTACCTGGCGCTATGTAGCTTATGTATAACATGGGGCTTCCTATGAAAAAAATAAAGAATAATTGCATTTACTATCTGAGTGGCCTCCTCATCTGAGGGTGGCAACAGGAAGGCAAACCGTTGCTCTACTGGGTGTCCCGACAAAATACTTGCTTCATGGCATACGCGGCATCACGGCAAACTGATGCACCGCCTAGCACTGCCGAAAGAAATTACCCGATCTGGATGCCACGTTTTGGTGGAAAGTCGGAAAATCATTCAGCGTCCCTCACATTAGTCGATGACTCGATGCACTCCTCAGGCTCCCACCTCGGAGGACGTGCCCGTAACCACCCCCACCTTCATGCACACCAGCTCACCTGCGCGCCTTGCCTGCACATCTCCTACCGCAAATTTCACCAAATGACGCGTTCTCGTGCAATGATTTGACCTCTTGCCTTCCTCGTTTTCTACCCGCCATTCCCGTGCTACCCGTGCGCAGTTGACCGTCAGGACCGTGGCGCAACGCAAGACCGGCTCTCTCTCCCTCCTTCGCCTTCCCGCGCAGCGCTCTATCTTACCCCTTGTGTCGCTCACAATGGGCTCCCTCCTTCCTTCCCCTTGTACGCGCACCGCCACCGCTGCCCCCTCACACGCATAGATTCCCTTCCTCATACTGCTCTCCGCGCATCCATCCTTCTCCTTCCCCTTCTCTCTCTACTCTGAATCGTCCTTCCCTCCATCTCTGTGTCTGCCTTCACCTGTCCTTCGTGCACGCACCCCCTAAGCCTCGCCCCCTCTTTGCAAGGTCTATTCCCTCCTTCGCCTCGTCCCCGCCTTCACCTCCACATAAGGTAGAGAGCGTGGAATCCCGGCACCCTTATGTCAGCAGCGATCAATTGATTGCCGAGCTTTCCCACGGCCAAATCTTGAGTTTCAAAAAAAAAAAAAAATCTCTATCATGCCCCTGCTTCGTACCACTCGCTCAGAACGATTTTTTTTTCAAGATACAAGGGGAAAATTCTACTTGGCAGCCGCAGCCCCGAGGTTTGGCACCTGGGGGCCGCCAAATAGTAACTCTATGATTTCGTAAGTTCATCTTTCTCGCGGACCACGGTTGATGGGGGCGGCAGGATGTGTCGAGCAGTGGCAAAAGGAGAAAGGGATGTTGAGAAAAAAAAATGTATTGAGCCAGGACAGTACCTCAGATGACCTCTCAATTTTACCAGAGAAGCCGCCATCCGCAATGTCGAGGAGACTCAATATTTTGAGGTAAGAGGCCATCAAATCAGCACAACTGCTCAAAAACGTCACTGGAAAATATGAATAACATTGTTGGATGCAGTGAATACCTATCTAAGTAAAAAATTACACCTCAGGGACATTTTTCTAACCCTTCATTCACCATTAAAGCAAGGCACACCGCTGTTTATCTTCCGTTTATCTCGGTTAGATAGGCTCACGTGGGGGCTTGACCCGAATACTTTTCATTAACTGCGCCCTTGAGACCGTCTGGTCATGGTGAAGGGTGAAGGAGGGAGAAAATCACTCAAAATTGTGTCAAAACACACGGACAACACATTGAAAACCCGCAAAAAAAAGTGGGGTGATTTGTGGCTGTGCAATCACGTGCTGGTGGCTGTGCTGGCCAAATCTGCCGGCCGTTTTTATGAAAGTGCGCCGTTCAGTCCAAAAAGCACATAGAAACAAAAGATCAAAGTTTTTTTTGAACCCTTTATAACTTTTTTTTGGGAGGCAAAAAAAATGAATTTCAACAGCCAAACCCTTTTAAACTAAGCATACTATAACTTGGCTGTAGAGTTTTGAGCCCTAGTGTTCATGGGTTGACGGTATAACAAGCCGAATTCTCATCTGATGGCCGCTTACATAAGGGTGCCGGGATTCCACGCCCTCTACCTTACGTACATATATCAAATCACCATCTCAGCCTTCCTTCCTTCCTTCATTTTTATCCCCGGCCCCGCGACGCACATGCATCGGCCATTTGACAAAAATCTTGTGATCTTTCTGCTCTTTTTAGCTTGTGGGCCGAAAATCACCCTCATAAAAGTCAACATTGAGACTTAGTGAGACTCTAGAACAAGGTTGAGTGGGTACTCAGCATCATATATACCTACTATCATGCCCAAGAGCAAAAAAATAATTCAAGTTTGTTGCACAGGGAGGGGGTCGAACCACCGACCTTGTGAGATTTGGCTTAGCTTTGCGGTCTTGTGACCTTGTGGCGATTTTGGTGGCGCTTTTTAGCCCTTACAAGTTGAGGGGACGCACCTGCGGCGCGTGCTTGATTGAAACTTCACAGCACATTCCGTGCTCGCAAAGACACGGTGGATTCCGTGTTTCCAGGGTTCGCCCACTTCACGGCGGATTCCGAGATCGTGGGAACCAACTCGTGACTTATCACATGATTTATCAAAAAAGCTGTGCTCTTCGTGTTTTAAAGTATAGGATACAAGGACACAAAGGAATCTGTCCAAAAATATGATGTGTGCCGCGGCACTGACGCGCACTGCCGCGCATTGACGCGGCCAACACCATTAAGGGGAATGAGTTTGAGCCCTTGAATAAGTTCATTTGACGTTTAAACACCCCATACTATGGCCAGGAATGTGGTTTATTAATGTAAGTCAAAGGGTACTTTGGGCAAAGTTTGACAGGACATCATGGGTACTAGAATTAGTAAAATAGTATATTTCTGCGCATACATGGAGTGGTAAGATAGCTCAAGCCTCCTGCGTTCATCTGCGACATATCCTGGCGTATTTTGAGTCAGAAGAATATGGGTTTGAACTCTTAGTCAAAAAATGGGATCAGTATGACACTGCCGTGGCAATGCGCGGCATTTTCTCCTGGCCCGAGTAGGTGGGTAAAGTGAAAGAAGTCGCGGGAGATGAACAAAGATGTATGAAATGGAAGGGCCGGGAGTAATTGCACGTATATAGATGAACTCGAGTCCGCCCGCAGGCAGCGAAGGGAGGCCGGTAACTTCACGTCAACGCAGCGTAGGCAACATCAGACTTTTGACAGATTCCTTGTACAACGGCTAAAAAGGTCGCAGCGCCACCAAAATCGCCACAAGGTCGCAAGACCGCAAAGCTAAGCCAAATCTCACAAGGTCGGTGGTTCGACCCCCTCACTGTTTTTTTTTTGCTCTTGGGCATAATAGTGGGTATATATAATGCTGAGTACCCA